GTACTATCACGTAAGCATGATACGAGTTTTTTGTCCTTTCAATGAACAAAGTTTATTTAGCTTCTATTGGGTGTAATGGGTAGAACATTGCGACATATTAGCGGCCAATGATTGGTTGGCCATCGGTTGGTTATTTCCAACTATTGGTTGATGTTCAGCTCTTGATAACGCTGATTAATGGTTTACAAATATTGGGGTAGATACGTACATCGTCCAAGAGTTTTGATGCAAAAATTTTTATTTAAAGGATAATAAATTGATTTGCAATTGTTTAATCCCTCTTATGGATATAAATAAACATCATTCGATTTATTTCAAAAACGTTTCATAAATGAGCATTAGAATATTTCCTATGAATAAACCAAGTCCAAGTAACAAAATAATTTGTTTGAATTTTTGTTCATTTGATCAGAAACAACATAATTAATCTCTCTCTTGCACTAAATATACGAATTATTAGTCGGACTTGGTTACCGTCTGTAATGATCATCCTGCTAGATTATGCACCGAGAGTGGGAAGCGGGAATGAAGCTAGGTATTTAATTAAGTTGCATGCTGGCCAATGTGATATGTAGTTCTGCTCATCTGAACTCTGGATTGCGTGTTTAGTGTGCATGATGGAAAACTCTGCTTTGCAGCGTACTTATAATTAATTAATGAAGTTTAGTTCATTGCAGTCAACTTAAGAGACAAATTTTCAACTAATACTTTTTATAAGTCTAATTTTAATTGTTGAGTGAAAGGTGCAGGCATACAACTAATTCAAAAAGTTTGTACCGATTTAGAATTTATAATTCTACAAATTGCATAATGCAATGCACAATTCAAGATCACCTATGAGTATGAATTCAATTCTCATGACTGGGAAAGATTTCAAAATTTATTGTACTATCACGTAAGCATGATATGAGCTTTTTGTCCTTTCAATGAACAAAGTTTATTTAGCTTCTATTGGGTGTAATGGGTAGAACAATGCGACATATTAGCGGCCAATGATTGGTTGGCCATCGGTTGGTTATTTCCAACTATTGGTTGATGTTCAGCTCTTGATAACGCTGATTAATGGTTTACAAATATTGGGGTAGATACATTGTCCAAGAGTTTTGATGCAAAAATTTTTATTTAAAGGATAATAAATTGATTTGCAATTGTTTAATCCCTCTTATGGATATAAATAAACATCATTCGATTTATTTCAAAAACGTTTCATAAATGAGCATTAGAATATTTCCTATGAATAAACCAAGTCCAAGTAACAAAATAATTTGTTTGAATTTTTGTTCATTTGATCAGAAACAACATAATTAATCTCTCTCTTGCACTAAATATACGAATTATTAGTCGGACTTGGTTACCGTCCGTAATGATCATCCTGCTAGATTATGCACCGGGAGTGGGAAGCGGGAATGAAGCTAGGTATTTAATTAAGTTGCACGCTGGCCAATGTGATATGTAGTTCTGCTCATCTGAACTCTGGATTGCGTGTTTAGTGTGCATGATGGAAAACTCTGCTTTGCAGCGTACTTATAATTAATTAATGAAGTTTAGTTCATTGCAGTCAACTTAAGAGACAAATTTTCAACTAATACTTTTTATAAGTCTAATTTTAATTGTTGAGTGAAAGGTGCAGGCATACAACTAGCAAGTGACTAGGTACTTTATAGAAACTGAGCAAGTTAGCATATGTGGTTTAAGCCTTTAAGAAGTTTATTTTTTGCCTCAAATGACAATATTGGGTCAAAAAAGTGGTCTTGGTGGATCAAAATAATATATGAACCTTCAAAATTAGGATTCCATTCTGCTGTCATTTTCTTGCTGCTGCTACTTGACAGCACTGATATATCTAATTGGCAAGCCACAACTGAATTTTTTGAGCCATGGTTTTATGGATTTGCCAGCCGTGATTCAATTTATTTTGAGCCATAAATTCCATATCTTGGCCATGAATTGCCATTTACGAGTCGCAAATTTATTTACCAAGTCCATGCATGTGTTACCCCAAATCTCTAATTTTACCCTAAAACAGTCATGTGGCAATAATAACATTTGTCTTTACTGTAAGCTGAACACGTGTTAATGCAGTCTGATCGCTCTGATGTGACTGCAACTATGCGCAATCTTCAACAAAACGTATAGGTTGACTTGTTTACATTACAAATTAGGGTGATTACATTCTGCAGGATATTCTGGCAGGCAGGGTAAAGTAATGCAGATTGTGTAAGTGGAAAATTTTATGAAATGACATGTTTGCAAAGTGCAAATCGCAATTTTTTCAATCAAACAAAAATGTATCATGACATTTGAGCTGTGAGATTTCATGCCTACTGAAATTATGATATTAGAGTCACGATATTTCAGAAAAAAATAGGACTTTTCCAGCCCTGGCTGGCACTGCAATGAGTGCAATGTCAGTGGCATGGACTATTCTAGACTTGAAATCTGTTTCACTTCATATCAAATTTTATAATATTAAATATTAATTATTATTGAACATTAACAAATGAAATTTATTCTATATTATTATTTTCATTCTACTTATAATAGTAGAATAATATTACTTTTTGTTATATAATTTTGTTCATGGAAATATGGGAATACAACTCTAATGATTAATTTTAGCCTGAAGCCCTGAACATGTACCTAATGCACAAAATTAGCAATCAATTATTCAAGGTACTTTTGTCCACAACAAAAACTAACCTTAAAACTGATCACCTTGGTCAAAAATGGGCGGGGCAGCATCGGCAGATGGTAGCAAGCTGTACCAGCTGCTGCTGCAGCAGCTTGCTTGGTCAACAATTTTAAATATGAAAGGAAAAGGCCTGGACAAAGTGTGCTTTCAAGTCCTTAAGAGCATAAAACGTATAAAAAATTATGTTTCTGCATGGACTTCAATGCTGTTAACATTGAGAAACTTTTTAATATCTTTCTTGTTATAAATACTTGCTAATTAAATTTAATTTGGCTATAAATGTCACTTGAAAACTGAGCGCTCCATGTTGCAGTGCTCAGTTTTCAAGTGACATTTATATCCAAATTAAAATGATATAGTAAGTATTTCTTGCATGAGAAATACTTTGTTTCTCATTGTTGACAGCATTAAAATCCATATATACTGAAATGTTGATTTTTTTATGTATATATTTTAGGCTAAAATTTTAGGCTCCTGAGGTCTTGAAACTGCACTTTGTCCAGGCCTTTACCTTTCAAATTCAAAATTCTTGAAGAAGCAAGGCTAGCTGCTGCAGCTCCTGGTGCAGCTTGCTGCCATCACGATGCTGGTCTGCCCCTTATGTTCATTTAGTATGCAGCTATCTCTTGTTCGGGAAGGTGCTAGTGTGTTGTGCAACGGGCCATAAAGAAGCAGTCACCAGTTCAACAATGTCATAAGACCATGCTCATTTATATTACCTAAAGAATTGCAGTATGCTGGTGAAGATGCTCCAAAGATGCCAATATCTTGAGCTGAAAGGCTCACTTTACAGCCTGGTTTATAGCTACTGAAATTGTATGATATTAGAGCTGTGATATTTCAGAAAAAAAGCAGGACTTCTCCCAATGTAGATTTATGGGACCTTTTATCTGATTTGCAGGTGGCTACTGTCCTATTTTTAGCTTTGGGCACAGGTTCAGGCTGTTCCCCAACTGGAAAATTAGGCTAAAGCCACCTGTGAAGTGGACAAAAACACCCATCAATCTGGCTAATTTTATCTGTTACAAAAGCTTTTCCCAATTTCTTATTTATCGCTAAAAAAAATCAAGAAAAATATTTTAAAAATTGTACGTCAATAATCTTGGGTCATTTTTGAAAGTCACGGGCAGAAATGCGTTATTTTTCTTGATCTCTATTAAAGCTAATTTGAGATATTGAACAGAAATGTCCTAAGTTCAGGGATGATAATAATCACTTCATGGATGAGTTCTGAAAGTTGAGGGAAAAGTAAAACTATAAGTATTCTCTTGTCTGTTCTTGTTTTTTTTACTGACGAAATTGGAAAAATGGCCATGCTCATGTGGATTTTTGCCCAATTTATTGGTGATTTCTGTCCAATTTTCCACTTGTGTAGGGAAGTAAAAAGGCAAGAACTTAGGGCTATTGTATTGGAATGGGTAAAATTGTCCCATTCTGGAATTGGATGGAGGCCACTTGTCAAAATGAGATGAAAATGCTCTTTCTTACTAGTACAAAAAATGTCTACTAGTACTGCCTAAGCAACATCTGGATTTTTGAGGCCATGAATTCTTGTATTTTTCCAAATGGCTAATTTGCTGACTGTAATATTATTGAACAAATCTAAGTAAGTAAAGTAGGTTATATAGTTAAGTTTAGGTTTTAGTTTTAAAAGGATAGTGTTAAAGATCTTGTCAGACCATTCAGTATTTTTAAGACCATTAAATGAAGAAAAAGATCAAAGTAACCAACATGTTGAATTTAGAATCAGGGGAGCAGGCTAACAATACCATAAGTGTGCAAATTCAATGCAGACTTGTCTTTGGGCTTTGTGCAAGGATTTGTGTGTGTAATTCAGCAATTGCAGAGGTTGCTGAGGTACAGAGAATGTTCTATTATACTGTTTATATTCTACTGTATCTGTTGATAATGTATATTTGCTATCTCATGTTCCTGTGGTTGTAATAATATTGCGTTTATTCATATTTAATTCTTCAATTCACTTTGATTTAGGTGTGCAGTAATTTGTTGAATTAAATACAAATTAGACTTTGTTCTTTGTAGGGAGTCAACAGTAAACATAGAACAAGCCATTACCAACACCTTGCTGCTCCTGTACTCTTAATTAATTTTAATTTAATATTCATATGTTGTGCAACCGTCAGCATCAATTGATATAAATGTTTATGAAAGCTAATTTTTTTAGCCTTGGCATGCAAGATCATTATGTATACTTATGTAATAATGTACCATATGTATTGCCAATTTCTGCAATATCCTTCATAGCACGTTTAATGATGAAATTTTTTCTTGTTTCTTGGTTTTTCAGATTCGTGTCCGAAGGCGGAAGCCGTTTGACGAGCCACCAACAGAGAAAACTCTGGCTAAAAAATCAAGGGCTCTGCTGTCAGAAAGCTCAGCTCCAAAATCATCAGTTGGGCGCCAGTCAAGTACACAGGGCCAAGGCACCGTTAAAAGAGCTGTGGTCAAGGCTAAAATGGGCAAAAGCAAAAGGATTAAATCAGATTTAAAGGACAGTGAGAAGCTAATAAGCAACTCAATGGTAAGTTGCTTAGTCATGCAGACATTGTACATATTGTTTGATAAAAACATTGAGAATATTGGTGACAAAGAAGTCCTCTTCAGTTGACCTAATCACGTCGTGTTCCCTAGTTGATTTCCTCATTTTCTGTGTAATAATTATTAGGCTGGCCAAATTTTGGAAAAACTTTGAAAGCTTCATTCAATATTTACATGCATTGCCAAAACAAGAAATGAGACTTGAAGAACATATTCAAATCTTGATGAAATAAATCTATTTATAGTTGAGTAACTAAAGTTCAAGATGAATATTTTTATAAAATTATCATATATGATTATATTGACAGTAGTAAGATATCCCTATTGGCTGAATTAAATGGCACCTGATTAGTTCTGATGATTGGACAAATTCCTCATTCTGGTGACTAAGAGACCATTTGCCTTGCACACTTGCTGAAATATGCACTGTCAAACAACTCTATGAATTTTATAATGTTGAAAGGAATACAAAAATGTTAAATCACAATTTAAAATAGTTTCTTCTATAAATTAAACTATTCAATTAAATTTCTGTATTATTTAATTTCTTTTGGTCATTATTTGTGCAATTAACGTTCATTTTTCTGCATTATTTAATAATACCTGGAATTTAGTTTTAGGTAAAGTGACTATTTGTCAGTAATTTCAAGCTGATTTCCTGGTAATTATGATTGATATTTTATATACTCATAAATTTTGCCTGTCCTTAGCTCAGCTCATTCCTGTGTCACATTCATCAATCTGAATGTATTCTGTGCCTACTCTCACATGATGATCATACTTGTTCTGTTTGCAATTCAAGGTGAGAGTTAATTTGTTTAAGAAATTATTTCCCCTTGTTATATGCACTGCAACATTTCATAAGATACTATTATTTTCCGGTATTTTTCAGATGAAGAAGTGCATTTTGTCACTGCTGAAGGAGTACAGTGACCAAGACAACTGTGATGCTGAAGGCAAGAAGTCTGTATTTGCTGAAGCATCATCAAAAATCTCAAGCAAGCGTCGACTTTGTCTAACCATCGATAGCTTCAAAGTTCCACCACATAGGTCATCAAAAACACCTACACACCCCAAGATATTTAGATTGTACGTAATAATTATCTAAGCTAAGTATTTCTCAAATTGTTATGTTTATCATTACTGGCCGTTTATTTGTGTAATCATGTTTTATTTGCCACTATGCTTAGGTATACAATGAATTCGGTGATGCTTTCATCTTCTAGCCTATATTTCAGTAATTTGAACAAACTCTTGTCAATCGTTTCTTACTCACTCCAAAGCACGTAATCAAGATCTAACTATGATCATTGGCAATAATGATTTTGATAAGAATCAAAAACTGTTCTGAGTTATATAAATTTTGGGGAATTTTGGTGTTTTCCTATAGATTTTCTTTGTTCAATTTTTCTAACACTGTATGCCAGCTTCATCTTTTCCAGTCTCTGAAAGTTGAGGTATGGAATCTCGGAATTTTGTATGTAAATCCTTTTTCTTTTTTGCACGGTATCCCTGTATTTTGGATGGTTTTTAGTGTTCAATTTGTTTGCTCTTACAAAACATTATATTCATATCTTTCTTTTGGCACTGCTTAGACCATTCAATTCTTATGTTTGATACAATTTCTCCTTGAAAACATTGGATATTCTTTTCTTCGCCCTCGCTTTGGCCGTTTCATTCCAATATTTGGTATGATTGCAGTAAGCTGCCCCACGGTCTGACTGACGCGTCATCGAGCGTGCTGCTGGTCACCAAAGACTATCCCAAGCCCAAGAACCCGCGCCTCTCCAACGAACACTTCAGGCGCTTGCTCACCTCTGCTGGCTGCAATCACCTCATCACCGAGGTACTGCTTACTCCTTGTTTCCAAAGAAAGTGTTATTTTATAGGTACAATTTTTTCTCGGTGATGGAAGAGTTTACTAGAAAAAATTTTGTGGTAAATAGTACAGTATCTTGCTGGACTTAGTAGTGTAGTAGACTAGTATAGGTGTGTAAACAGTAGTGTACAAACAGGGTGCGTACCGATCATGGAAAATCTGGAATGTCCTGAAATTTAAATTTTCATTTTCCAGGCCTAAAAAGTACTGGAATTTCATTTCAGATTATGGAAAATACTGGAATATGCAAATAAATAAATAAATGAAGTCTTTTTCTGTGCTACGTGTGTTAACCCTAATCGCCACGGGTTGTCGTGTCATGCTACAACCTCGGGTGCTAATGATATCTGCCTAAAAAGTACTGGAATTTCATTTCAGATTATGGAAAATACTGGAATATGCAAATAAATAAAAAAATGAAGTCTTTTTCTGTGCTACGTGTGTTAACCCTAATCGCCACGGGTTGTCGTGTCATGCTACAACCTCGGGTGCTAATGATATCTGCCCTTAATTTTGTCAAGTATTTTTTAGGTATCTTCTATTTTACATACGCTGCGATTATTTTACCAGGCATTAATATAGATTGTTTCCTATCAAATGCAGTCTTCAAACGCACAATTGTGAACTCTAATCCATTTTTGAAAATTATGAGAATGGAAGGACCGAATTTCTGGCCTCAAGCAGAGCCATCTCCGTGTACAACTCCGACCGCTCGAACTTGTGTCTATGTTACCCATGGGGAGGAGACTGTAAGTCATTCACGTGTGCGTGTGCCTGAGATATCGCTGGTGCATGTGCAGCTTCAGCACTGGTGCACCTCCTGCGTCCTCATCGCTAGTTTCTATCAAAGTTTCTTTGTTTCTATATTTTTTTATCTCATTGTCTGTGATATCGTTGCCCGCCATTAAAAGAACTGCATGAAATGAAACGCATTAGCGGAGCGGGCTCGAGTACCTCCCTGAAGTTCCAGTTAAAATATTATTGATCCAACACCAAGAATAGATATCGGATATCATTGCAGTGAATTGAACGCACAGTTTCAAGCATTTTCAACTTCTGATCGACTGGACACTGTTAGGCATGCCATCCTGTCAAAGAGCACCTACAAGAAGCTCTGGAATGTAGTGCAGATGCTCATGCTCCTGTCTCATGGCCAAGCCACGGTTGAAAGAGGGGTTTCGTTCAACAAGGAAATCATGACGCACAACATGAAAGAACAAACGTTGGTTGCCGTGCGTGCTGTGGTTGATCATGTTGCACATGTTGGTGGCCCGACAAGATGACCATCACCAAGAAGATGCTGCTCGCAGCTGGCAGTGCCAGAACAGCCTACAATAATTATTTGGCAGAAGAGAAAGAGCAGAATGCGAAGGCCCAGAAAACCCAGAAGAGGAAGGATCTGTTGGATGAGCTATATGAACTAAAGAAGAAGAAAATACGTACGGAGGAGGGCATCAAGGCGCTTGAGCAAGCAGCAGACGAATATGCAGAAGCAATGGAGAGAAAAGGGCATGTGAAAATCATCGCAAAGTTCAACGCCATGCATGAGGCAATCTGTGAAAACAAAGCAACAGGAGCTAGACACTCTTGAACTGAACATTAAAGAAAAAGTTGATGAAATAGCTGCCAGTTGAATGTTAGGGCAGTGGTGTTGAATCGTGTTTTGAACTGTATTTGACATTATCATGTGCAATATTGTGTGCATGCACAAATGGACAATGTTGTGATTTGACACTATTGAATTCATAATAATAAAAGTGTGGGCTTGATTTCCAGATTTGTGTCATTTTTGATCCTCTGTGTCTGCCCGCTCTATGCATTTACACGTTTGCTATTTATCAACTTTAGATGATAGAATATGCATGGTTACTCTTTCAGTCATGCTAAACCTGTCATATACGAGTCCTGGAAAATTATACTGATGATCATGGAGAGTCCTTCAAAAGTCCTGGATTTTTTTTTTCTCAATATCGGTACGCACCCTGTGTAACAAATTAAGACCTTCATTATATTTTGATTTCATCACCTTCTATGTGGATACAATTGTCCTGTACATATGTTATTTAAATAGAGTTGATTGTTATTACTTTTGTTGAATTAGTTACTTTTTGTTGACTTAGTTACTTTTTAGTTTGGTCAAATAACGTTTCTTTTTTATTAAATTCTCTTGTATGATGTTTTGGTGGTCTGATATGTTGATTCGATTGTCTTCCTCAACCGTTCTGAATGTCTCACTATTTCCACCTTGCAGATCATGTCGATAGGTCAGCTTCGTGACGAGTACTCGGTTCTGTCGGCACGCAAAGAGCTCTGCGACCGCATTGATGTGGTGCTCTGTGATAACTCTGTGTCCCTGGTCGTCCCCAGAGTGCTCGGCAAGCTCTTCCTCCTCTCAAAAAAGTAAGGTTTATTTCTAATTTCTATTTAGAGTTTTCCTTTTTTTATGGCATTCCTTGCCTGTGATCAAAGCTTGAATCATGGCAATTAAATACGCTGAAATGCTCTTCAAAAATTAAACACTATAAATGAAGACGATCAGTTTTAATGTACCATTAACATGCCAATTCTTTTAAATGCAATTGATTGACTAGCTCTATTGTCTTAACCGGCATCTATTTTGCAGGTTCCCAATCGGCATTAAAATGAACAAAAAGAAACTTTTACAGGAAATTGAAGAGAAGCTCGACACAACCTGCCACAAAATGACGTTCAAGAACACGCAGTCAACGCTCGTTGTAAGGCAATAGTTAAGCTTCATAAAAGATAAGATGTCTCTAAATTCATTATTGTTGCCTAAGGTGACTGTGAAGCACATTTTTTCGCAGTTTCTTGAGAGCGTGCCTTTTCGTCCATTCATTACACCTTAGATACATTTGTTACCGACTTCATCTTGTAAAATAAGTTGATCACGTAAAACATGTATTGAATTTTGAGAATTGATTTAAAGATTCAAAATAATATTTTTTCTATGCAATCATATTCAGATGAAAACGATCCTGAAGTGTTAATGGTGAATATTGACAAGATCTTCAAGTCGTTTAATTTTTTTGTCATGTGGGATTGTCATATACCCTACGACTGTTCAAGTAACTCACCTCCTTTAGGTGTAATAGTTCGATGTGAAATTTCTTAGTGAAGGAGCTCACAAATTTTTGTGTTGACTGTACAAGCTTGCCTTTGAAAAATGGTTTCCAAAACAAATAAGGCCTGATTTGAGTTCCAAAATTAAGCTCATTTTATGAATACATTTCTTTGCTTTGCAGTTCGGTCATTCCGTTCAGCCTCTGGACCACCTGGTGGAGAACCTGCGTGCTAGTATTGCTCATCTGTGCAAGAGCTTCCCAGGGGGGTTCCGGAACATCAAGACCCTCTACCTCACCACGGGGCTCAAGGCTAGGGTTCCTCTTTACGTATCGAGCGGTGAGTACAGGGAGGCTTGCTTCTCTGGACAAGACCAGGGTTCCTTTTTACGTGTCCAGCCGTGAGCATAAGCCAGCTTCTCTGAGCATGACCAGGACTGCTCTCTACGTTTTGAGTGCGAGAAATCTTGCATCTCTGAGATAGACAGGGTTCCTCTGCATGTTCGGCGGTTAGTACAAGGGGCTTCCTTCACTGAACAAGGCCAAGTCTCCTAACTTCCAAAATTTGTGTTCGGGGGGTGAGTACAAGGAGGCTCCCTTCATTGGCTTTGCCATTCGCCTATTTACCGCGTCAAATTATGTCAATTCAGTTATCACCGTTTCAGTTTTGTCTTAAATTGTATTTTAAATCATTCGTTGCGCATCTTTAATTCTCGGTGACATATATTATAGTTTTTGCTATTATCTACATGCACAACCGTCATTCTACGAAAATGTCAACAAATTGGGATTTGGCCACTGAAGTTATGGTGTTTTTTAGCCTGCAGCAATTCCACGTAAGTTTCATGACAGGTTTTCAGTTGAATTCTACTTGGTCTTGTTACCTAGATAATTTTATAGGTTTGGATCAGATTGTCAATTCTTCGGTATAGAGTACTGCTGTTTGGTGGCTGCAGGTTCTTGCTGTAGCTTAAATTTGTGGGACCCTCATTTTACCTAACCTTATTATAAGCGAAAAGAGAATTTTGTTGCCATTTTTTTACTACTTGGGCAATATTCCAGATGGAAGTTAAAATTTCTGTGAGACAGTAGTCGATTGTACCTCGTGTAGAGCCACGTGAACTTTCTGGAATACTATAAATTTATTTAGTCACTAGAAACATTCTTTAACATACTCAAAAACATACAAATTTAATCGCAAAAACTGAAGTTGTGTTCATCTGTTTGACATGGTTATTTTTTTCAGGACCATCGTCGCAAGTGCGGTCACTGCCGCTCATGCCTGTAGCGACTCCTGAAATTCTCGAGGGCGACTTTGGTTTTGGTAACGTCAAGATCACGTCCTTTGGTGACGTCATCCACTACCAGCCCATCAAGGAAGACGTGAGTATCTTTTGTCCATCTTGGACGGTTGAGATTGTGTCGAATGGCTAGTTAACTATTGCGATTGAATTTTAAATTCACTCTTCTGTAGTTTTTTTACGAGTGAGCAAGTTTTTTCTAATAAAGTGAGACCACTCTCTCGCACTCATAGCAGAGACTGCTTTAACTTTGATGTTTACTAACGATTAAAATTCGAAAAATTTACAGGAAGAAGATTTGCTGCACGCCGTGCCGGGTATGGATGAGAAGACCAAGGAAAAGTATCGCAAAATGCGGGAGGCCCGAGACCGCGAAGAAAGACTAGAAAAGATATGGGCCAAGAAGAAGAGGTATGGCTACGGCCTGAAGAAGGAAGCGCTGGCCAAGGCGAAGCGCATCAAGAAATCTAATTTCAAGGAAGTTCCACTCGTGTAAAATAAAATTATTTTCTCCGAGACGATTTTCGTTTCAATCGAGTCGATCATCATTTGAAATAGTTTGTGTTAATTTGTTGGAAATTCATACAGCTAGCTGCTAAATAATATCCTCTTCCAGACCATTATGAGATAGAATCCTTGAAAGGGTTGAAATCCCAAGTGAAAGCAGACATGAATAGTATGATTAATTTACGTCGAGAAACGTTTTGCGATGTACGAAATGAGTTTGCTGATCCGTGTGGTTATATCTTCCTCCATCTCTCTCATCATTGCTGCAGAATGTAGAAGATGAGTCGAGTTTGAGTACCAACAGATGCACTGCTGATTTCACGCTAGGGTGTAAATGAACACGAGCATTAGGAAACAAGAAGTAGATTATTAGACTTTGTAACGATAAAATCACAGATTCAAAGAAGTCCTTCACGAATATGTACAAAATGGACTCCACAAACGGCGTAAAGTTGACAGCTTACAAGGGTTTTGAATTGTAATCAGCGATACACTGAAATGTCAAGTTGTTATGAACAAAAGCGGGTAAATTCAGTGAGTTAATTTAACGGGAGTGGGACCAGAAGATCGATGACTAGACTCCTTGAAAACGCCGCATTGCAGAAATGGACAATACTTTTAACAACAACCGATCAAAAATGGCACGATAGGTCATAAGTCGACTAGCGCATTGCAAAGATGAAACTCATTTCCACACAAAATACGTCGGAATGAATCGATTAATAATAAATATTTATGCAGAATTGTACCTTGAATTTCTGAATTTTCGGTTGAATTTTCCTCGCCCATTTTGAAGGCATAAATTCGATATTAGGAATAAACTCGATTGTCATATCCGATGAAACAATTCAATTATGCACACAGCTTTTCTTATGAACAAAGTTACACAAAATTATAACATGGCGAAATTATCAGCAATGACTTTTGATGACTAATTTAAAAATAAAAACAAAATGCTGGCGCTTCATTCCTTAGAACTCCATAAGCAGGAAATGAAGTCCTTCATTTAAATGAACATTCACTAATCGAAAGCTCGACAGGCTTTCGTTAGAGAAGCTCATCGCCTGTCAAGTTTGAAAGAGAAAATAAGTGCCTTATGTACAAACTACCAAGAGCACCAAAGTGTATGATACATTGATAGTCGCCTTACCAATTACATAAATCCCGACACATCCGGGCCTTCAAAGGAACACCAAATACCGTACGCTTTGCTTCGTCAACAAACGTTGAAATATGCTCTAGAAAGGCGAGCGTTTATGGCTTGTATTATATCGCTAACAAGAAGTAGTAGTATAATGGACAAAAGGCTTGCTACAGCGTCAGCTATAAAGCCATCGCGCACCCGAAGTCACGATATGAATATCTCTTACAGGTAATGACTTTCTCATGATAAAATTCTTCCATCAAACGATCAGTAACGATCACAATAGGCGGATGGTCTCAAGTGGAAACAAGCTGAGAGCCTAAAGGACAGCGCTAGTGCCTGGTACCTACTAGCCATACCAGACGTTGCGATGTTTGGAAGCAGGCTCGTGCAGGCTGAAGATTGGCCACACGACACTCGTCCATGGATTCCACGTAGAACGTCACCCCCACGTCCAACTGGAATGACTGACTAGTACCCCTGCATGACAGTGCTGTACGTGATGGCGATTACCCCAAACTATAGCGTCGACCGATAAAACTGCTTCCCACACACGTCCTATCAGACGAAGCCATTGAAACACGCCCATACTAAACACAGACGAGACCATAGCTGGGGAATTTTCCGAAGTCTACTTCAGAAGAGACAGTCTTTACCCGCAATGTTAGGCGCTGAGCGCACACTAGGAACAGAGAAACTGCCAGCGACCGCCCCCACCACCACCCAAGTCAGGATATCTTGAACCTCATGAACAATGGCTATGCGGAATTTAAAATTGGGCCTTCGGCGTGAAATAGATCATGACTCAAGCGTAAGCAAACCTACTACTTCCCCTTACATAAATTTTTATCATTTATAACATTCGAAAAACATCGATGGAAATAGAATAAACGTTCAACCGAGTTAAACCACCATAAAAATTGGAAACGTCAGAGCTCAACAAAATCTCATGGTGCTCTCTCTCTGCGCCTTTAAAAGTTTAGCACAATCGCCGAATACTCGAGTGACCAAACTTCGCCTACCTCATGGTCTCAACTAAATACATTAAAAATATAAAATTCTGGTAAAGTAAAATATATTATCACTATGAATGTTTAAAAGTCAGACGAACACGAACAGTCCAGTCTCAGAATGTAAGCTATCACGAACAATAATTGAGCAAAATTAATGTATACTCGAGCGAAGTCTCCATAAAAAATTACCTCAACAAAACTCATACTAGGCTATTTATATTAATTGAGTTGACAAATTTTATGAAGTTGAGAAAACCGCTGTGCATATAACGTGATCCCAAGCGACATATCACGCGATACCTAGCGCAATAAAAGAGCTAATTGGGCAAATTTATATAGATGGGAAATTCTCCGTATTGCAACTTTTCAGGCTCCAGACTACTCTTGTAGCTTCAAATTTGAACGTAAAATGCTAATTAGATATGCGGAAACAAAAATTATTAATAGATTGAACTCGGAATCTGAAGCTTCACTTGAAGCGTTCAAGATAATAAATATTGGCAAACAAGAATGGCTAATAACATTGAAAAAACGGTCATTTCCTATTGATAAGAAACCAGGCAGCACGGAACGAAGTCAAGGAATGTAACGACAGCAGGAATGTGTGGCAAAAAATGAGAAATCGGCAAATTACCAGCATAGCGAAATACTGATGATTGGAAAAGAATGTGTGGAACAATTATTATAAAATAGTTAACATATTTAGTAGGGGAGAATAAACCCGCAATCACAGAGCGCGGTAGAAAACCTGCGAACTCGTGTAACGCTATCACGAAACTACACAATTGCCAATAAAAAAAAGTTTGGAATGCTGAAACGTCCAGCACGGAAACTTGTAATCAACAACGACGCTCGCTTACTAAAATCAATAAGCTCGTTCAGAGGGCTACCTACATTCGGGGACAGTTTAGCACTCTTAGCACTGATGAATTAAATAACATCTAATAATTTCAAAGTTTACGATAATAGTGGGTTCCGTTGGGGCTTGAGACGTTTCAGTCCAGCTTTAACTCCAACGACTTCCCACTCTTCATATTGATCATTAGGAGAAATATACGTAAATCGGCGTCGAAAAAAAGCTCGTCGCAAGACAAAGCAATGAACAATTGGAGGCCATCAAATAGGTCAGGCCCATTAACACGTTCTCCCAGACATCAATAACAAAATGTTTCCATTCAACATAGATTCAAAAGACAATGAGAGAAAAAGAGCAAAGTTATTTGAAAAATTGTGCGCATGAGAAACATTAATTTATACATCAAAGTTTTAACAACGCTTTGCTAATAAAGCTTACCCAAGTAAGCATAGATTTCTTAGAGATAGTAAGCCAGCGAACAGCATGTAGGTTGCATAACATCCCCCTGCCCAGCCAAATATCCATCACCCGTAAAGGCAAAAGTTGAGTAAAGGTTGCATGGGCTGAAATTATTACTTCTTGCTACGGTGAAAGTAATTTAGTGCGTAGCAGTTCGGTGGCGTCGCGAACACAAGTATATCTTGCATGTCGACAAGCATTCGCAACAAATGCAAGAGCTCAGCTGCGTACATGTGGCTAATACACAATTCTTCCAAAGATGTGTCAAAGGCAGTATAATTAAATACAAAATACTGATGTAGTCAGCTAATTATTGACTTCAAAGCCGCAGCATAGCTTACGTATAAAATCTGTAGATGGCAGCACACAAGATGAGAACTGACAATACATGCGCAACAGACTTACAGCGAACATTTAGCTCGACCACCTCTCGCCGGGCGAATGGTAAAGAAAAATGTAAGTATTCAATCATAGCAATTGAATACTGGCAAGATGCACTTATCAACATCAGTTAAGGCCAATATGACAACCAATTTTTTACCAAATAATTTTAAGACAATGGGTCTAAGACGCTGCAAAAGACATCGAGGCACAACCCACCAGAAAGCAGCACATTTGGCTGTAAAAATATACGGCGAATCAAAGTTTTCACGAAAATGACATCCACCCAAAAAGAAGTTTAACAATAGATAACGACGGTAGAAGTCATTGGCCGTGTGTAGGCTCGATGTTGCCAAGATGAAAATACAAGTCGGATTTATCGCAAATGTTAAATGATTGAGACATCATGAATAAATATAACCTAATACAGAAATGGCAACCCGAACAAGAAGTATGGAAATTCAGGAATTCATGCAGTTGATGAGCTGCTGACAGACGTGCGTATACTGCAATTCGTTGCCAGCAAGACGCTTCATCTTGACGGAGAGATGCGCGCTCTGTAAGTCCTGTGTCACCTCCACATCAACGCGCACTCCTGACGCAGCTCTAACACTCAAGCCCTTGGCACTGAAGCCTTCATGTACCAGAAACGGCGCATTGGCGTGGACAAGTTCGGTGAGAGCGGCAATCACCGCACTACCTTCCAAGCCGAACCATTTAGGCGGCACTCGTAGCACTAGTGAACCACTTTCAGTTTTGTGCACTGTCGATGGGCTCGCAGGTCGTCGATTACTAGAAAGCTCGTGACCATGGCATGAACCAAAGTCATTAAGAATGTCGGAATATGAAACCTGAGTTGGTTCATCTATACTCAGTGATGTCTCCATACATGAGGGCATTAAGGGAGGAAAGCTGTGTCTTAAATCTGAATTTGTAATGAAAATTTGGTGACGCGACCGAGCGTTCCCGCCTTCAAATGAGCTTTGGCTAGAGGTGTCTCGTAACGTAGGTTCGATGATGGCATCTTGCCGAATAAGATTTCGCTCATTCCGAGACGAAGGGCGTGACGTCGGTTGAGGCGATGCAGGATTTGAATTGTAATTGTCCAGTAATGCCTGGAAGGGTAGCTGTTCCGAGGAGGTAAAAGGCTGCACCGGAATGGGTAACGGTACAGGCGCAGGTTGCGACTGGAATTTTTTTGCAGCGTTGACGGGGCCACAGGTGCCTCGAGTGATGGAAGGTCGGTCGTTGTCGCAAGGAAGTGGGTAATCATCAAGACTGAAACCCTTGAGCACCTTTGAGGCATAGTGACGAGGGGACAACTGTGGTGATGGATATGGATATGAAGATAAAGAAGACGACTTTGAGAGCACCGACATGGATGTAGGAGACGAACCACGCGACCGCGACGGCGATCCAGGTAAGGGTGACGACAACGAAGCCACAAGGTGGATATGCGGTGATAGTTGTTGAGTCATCGCAATCAGGGATTGTCGCAACGCGCTGTCGCCGACACTTTGATCGATGCCTTCTGTGTCCATTGCATTGGCAGGGTCTTCTGGGGACGACCCGGAAGACGTCAAAAGAAACTGGCCTCCAGTTTCATCAGTGACGGATATCTGAGGATTCTTCTGAAACGAGATCTTGACGGGCTCCTCGGTAATGCAGCTCAAAATTGGAGGTGGAGACGGTCCAGGCCGAGGCGACGTGCAAGGAGAGGCGTGAGGCAGAGGGGACAGTTCAGGCGAGACGTGTTGCAGTTGCAGCTGACGAAGCCCGTCAGCTGCGCCCTCCACGCACGCGCCAACGAGGTGGGGGGATCCTGCAATGATGCACACTATCAGGAAGTATACTTAGCAGGAAGATCACTTCAAACACTCATCAAAGCTTCACGCTGTTTACGAGCCAATTAATGACATGAATAAAAGTGTATTCTACATACATCAATTAAGCTAACATTGCTTTCACTTGACAGAGGAACAAGGAAGCAGACAAACAAGGATTCCGCCATAACAAGCCATTATAGAAAGATGTCTAGTGAGACAAAACAAAGTTCATTAATACATCAGACTGAATATCAGGTACAAAATTCTATGCAACCAATTTCTATCAAGATACCGACCAGGTCTGGAGAGCGGCGTGGGGGAGGGTGAAGACGAGGAGGGAGTAGAAGGCCGGCTAGCAGCGGGTGAGAGCAGCGTTGGGTGAAGACACCGCGGTTGATAAAACTGAGGCTGTGGGTGGAAGAGAAATCCTTCATTGCTTCCATCAGTTCCGCCCCCGATGCTGGATGGTTGTTGCACGATCAGGGATGGCGGGTTGAAGTTGATAGGCGGGACGATGACACTAACAGCATTTGAGGCGGGAGAGCAAAACGGTGGGATGGAGGCGGGAAGGGGAAGAATAGAGTTAGGGTGAGAAGAATGGGCCGTACTAGGGGGAGTGTTGAGTGACGACGAATGAAGGTTGGGTGGAGAAGGTGACGGGGTGTGGAGGCGAGTTGTCGGAGGAGAGCAGCATGTTTGGCTCGAGTTCGGTGATGGATGTCGGGTTCGTTGTAGCAGCTGCTGCTGATGTTGCTCCGCACTGGCTCTGCTGTGTTTCTGCAGGGCATACAAAAATGTAAAGACCAGTTATTACTGAATTACTTCGTCATACATTACGACGTTGTTTCCCCAATCATAAGAGAAATAAATAACAACTTATTTTAAAAGTCGCCTCGCATATAATTGATCTTGCAGGCAGAGAACAATGAGAGCTCCAGTTAGAAACTGATCCTAGTACTCATCATAACGAATTAGTTGATCGTTCATTCCCATCTTCCCGTGTCATATGTACGTGTAAATTCCTCAAGAATTTTCAAGATCCTATTAGATGGAATATCAATATGGAATCCTGTTGGAATATATATCCTATCCAATCCTAATATATCCAATATCCAATCCTATTGGATGGAATATCAATAGGTGGAAGATGCTCCAATAGGTAGTTAGAGCATCGATAGTTTTGTGAGACAGATAAACGTAAACATAATACATAAAAAATATGAAGGTCCAAAATAAAAACGGCAACAACACTGCGAGGCTAAGGCATTTAGTTGGCTGTGGAATTAATAAAATTAATAACTTGAAAAAACTCATGCAGTAATCATGGTTTACAAAAACAGTTTAGCACCAAACAATTTACGTCTCCGCCTGTTCACACATAAAATATTCAACGGGCTGATTTCAACGATTAATTTTAAACGTAGCCTCGCTATTAATAAATTTGCGCTGGAAGCAGTACAACTTCAAAAGAAATGCCTGCAATCATGAAACCTTAAAAAAAAAAACGTGAGAAGAGTCGAGTCTAAACTCACCTGTATGTTTTCAATGCAAGAATTTGCTGGGTAATCTACTAATGAATTCATTTCATAATTTATACAGACATGTAAAGCGTTGCAGTTGCTTCACGTTTCTAAGGCTTATAAAGAAACAATTATGATGCCAAAAGATTTTATTCATTTCCCTACTATAATTAAAATAATCCCTTCTTTTTCGTTCTTGAAAAATTTTTTTTTAATAAATTTTTTTATTTATCTTTGTGAGTCGCCGAAAAATGCGCATTTTCCTTCTCGCCAAACGTAGCTGTTCTCATTCTCATGAGCATTCATAACAATAATAACATTACACACATAAACATACAATTAAAAGCCAGTAAAAACAGTACAATTCAGTCCCATGTAGAGGATTTAGGATTAAAATAAAATCCACGGCCCAAACAGCAGAGCATGAATGCCCCTTGCACAAACACATTAGGTAACTTTTAAAACATTAAATCACTCAACACGGTGCATTCGAGGTTTAAAAAGCACAGTGATCTCATAGCTAAACCTACATCCGAATTACTAGAGAAACATTACTTCTGAACAAGTAGCTATTATTCTTGCTTCGATTTAAAAGAAAAAAATTTAAACTACCAAGAGTGTAGCCATTGTTCCCGGAAAATAACACAACCCTTGTCAGGCAACGAAACAAATTATATAAAAAAGCCATTTAACAATCAGGCAAGAAAACAAAAGTCAGAGGCTAGGCAAGCCGTGAGTAACAAGAGATTCAAGGCAGACNCCACACTGGGGGCGTGACTGGGACAACAGCCACACTGGGGGCGTGACTGGGACAACAGCCACACTGGGGGCGTGACTGGGTCTCTTATTATCCACACAATATATCACCATAAGCCTGCGCGATATTTCACAACATTATATCAACACTACTTTCTTCAATTGATCGTATGTGAATGAGGCGATTTTGTCACCCTTTTATTAGTTCAAACAAATTGATAAACTACCCCAGGAGATACGCGTAATTTACCCAAGTTTGGGAACTAAGGATATTATTTTCAAACGGATCCAGGACATCCAAAACGAGGCGAAATTTTTGGTATTCCCGAGCTCAGTGAAGCAGCAAAAGGAATAATGGAAAGAAAAAGAAGTGAGAAATACCGCATGACAGAGCAGAATAGATACGNGGACATCCAAAACGAGGCGAAATTTTTGGTATTCCCGAGCTCAGTGAAGCAGCAAAAGGAATAATGGAAAGAAAAAGAAGTGAGAAATACCGCATGACAGAGCAGAATAGATACGATAAGGCGGTACATACACATAATGAAACTATAAAGTAAACTGATGGAAAGAGAACGCACAAGTAAATATAAATAAAACTAATACTCAACAAGCTACTATATATATACAAAGACTATCTAAAGATTCAGCGAAAGTAAATACTAGGCAGCGTGCGTTCACTACTAGATGAATTACAGCAGGCGCTGGAAATTTACTTGCCTTGAATGATATTGGCATCGCTCCAACCAAAGCTTTGTAATTGGTTTGAGGACATGATATTGCTACTGAAATATGACATTTACAGACTGAAGGTAATACAAACCTTTAACTTAAGAATGGAGTGTGAAATTTGTTTGGATCAAAGTCGCTACGACGACATCGCGGACAGGCAACATGAAAATACTTTTAGTCTGATATTTGTCATTCTCTTTCGAACAATAATCGTCTCTTTGCTGCTTATTGACCTCTCAGAGAAAAACTTCAAAACCTACTCATGCCATACTGACAGGAAACGATGGTCCTTAATGCGCTGTGGTCTTCCTGTGCACTTTGTCATTTGCAACCATACTGAATCAGCTCGGGAACAGGTATGTTCAGCCATGCTTAAAGATTTTTGCAAATTGGAAAGACTCGAATTTATGGTACGTGGTACAAACAAATTTAGTGGAATATTCTCCAATGTGTAATTCTCGTAAACAAATGGCCGCTGTTGAGCTACTACAAGGGTCTGAAATACAGAAGGGAGGATACGNATCGACCAGAATCACGGGTATTATTTCCGGACGAAGGCTTTGCATGAGCGTGGCCGTGGACGGAGATGTCCCTTCATCATAAGCTCAGAGTGAACTCCTAACGCAGAGTCAACATCACCAGTAACTTGAGCTCACCTGCAGGTAGTGGAACTCTGTGTTGATGTCAGAAAGGCTGATGGTGGTGTCACTGGAGCGTCTCCCTATGGGGGAGTAGCGGTCGCTGGCGTAGTGTAGACTCGACGCTTCTTTGAAGCTTTCACGGCTCCCTCCACCTCCTGAATGAATTGTGAAATTAACAATCCTTTCCAAAACGAATGTAAGGAAGAACTGTTATGATTTTAAATTTATGAGAAACTTCAACCCAATGACGTAGACGTAAGCCTCGACGTAATTAAATATTATATTTGTAACTCAGTTGCTTGCCTTACACATGACTTCCCAAGACTGACGCATGTTAATTATACTTATAATTGGCAATAAAATGAACGAGTTGCACCAACACAGTGAAGCTGGCATGTTGCACGCGACGTACTTGAGTTGCATGAACATACTTGGGTTGCATGAACATACTTGGGTTGCATGAACATACTTGGGTTGCATGAACATACTTGGGTTGCATGAACATACTTGGGTTGCATGAACATACTAGGGTTGCATGAACATACTTGGGTTGCATGAACATACTAGGGTTGCATGAACATACTTGGGTTGCATGAACATACTTGGGTTGCATGAACATACTTGGGTTGCATGAACTTACTAGGGTTGCATGAACATACTTGGGTTGCATGAAAATATGATAGACGTTTACGCGGCGCCAACGAGTCACGTTAAAATTCAGGGGCCTTATTTTCAAAAACTCGTTTAGGTACACGTAGTGCCTTACGTACATGTAGTGACTGATTTCCCATAGGTAATAATTGGTGGGAATAAATTGAAAAGCCGTCAGTGATTGGCTGACGGATTTATGAACTCTTTACTCTTTTTAAGCATGGCCACCTGGGCCCATACTTTCAAAAAAAGTTAAGAGATCGTATGTTCATCAGCCAATCATCGGCGGCCTTTCAAGCAAAATCCACCAATCATAGACAAGAAAATAGAGCGTAAGTACTTACGTTCACTTAGCGAGTTTTGAAAGTATGGCCCCTGGCTCGTAACCCCGAACAGGACTAGACATGCGACTTAGAAAATGAAAAGAGGTCGCCAATACATTCAGTTTGCCGACGGTAAGGGCAGAATACGGCGACCATGGAATTTCCTTTTATTCACTAAACTAGCAAACAAGTAAACAATCTCCAGAAATAATATTACACGCTTACAAGTCAACACACACATAAGTGAGAATCAAACTTTAAATTCCCTTCACACTGAACATATAAATAATTATTCAAGTGTACAAATTAAACCAACAAAAATAATCATTGGGTTAAACGTTAAAATAATATCAAATAAACACACAGAAGAAACTTGAGCATTAGGAGTCACCAGGCAGGTAAGAGGACAGAGCGCAAGAAGCATTGCATACAACAAGTCAAGCCTGAGGATCTCGTTCACTACGCAGACTTGACTGCGTTATATTAACAAATGATATGTTATCGTTATGTCAAAATAATGCTTGTCAAAACCGAATAAAACAGAGCAAATGTCAAAACATGGCATGTTTAATATCAAGCTGGAAAAGATATGCTGGTCAATGTTTTCAAATCTGTAACTAATTAATTGAAAAAGTTAACATGCTTTGAAACAGATTAGTAATTTAATTTGGGGAGTGATTGAAGCGGTAACTTCTCACATTAGCCGAGATAAAAATCAAAAACTAAAAATGCGCCGCTCGCCGCTCCTGTACTTGAGCGAGTTTTGAAAGTACGGCACTTTTCCTTTAACAAATATGTATAGGCGAAAAAATCTGCACACTTCCATATCACATGCAGCGCTTTGCTTCAAGTACGCAGATGGCTGCACTGTATTGAATTGAAAAAATTAACGCCTCAATCTAACAATTGCAAGAGTAAAATGAAAATATTACACTTAAAGCTTAAACTATTGAAGCAGGATTGTACGAGGGATAGATTAAAACATTTACAAAGAATCACCGAAAATTAGATCCAACATGTTAGTCTTATGCTATGCTGAAAGAGTTCAGGTTAAAAAGGAGGAAGCATGTGTAACTCAAAAAACACTCTCCCTCTGCTAAGCCGAAAGTTCATGTTAAAATTAAGGAATCAGTAGCAGAAGAACAAATCAATCGCATGTTGGCATCATAATCAAGAAGCACAGTGGAAAAAGCCGCTTCTCCCAAGCCATAATGAAGTTTCAGAGCGCAAGCACCAAAGAGTTCCCGAAGAAGTTCTTGAGAACAAAACTTGCATATTGACCTGTTGAACGTTGTCTCCCAAATGAAGTGGTTGGTGGCTTCCTGTCCCTACATTGAAGATGCCTCTCGAAGAGTCTGGGGCGTTTCAGCTGAGATGAATTGAATACAAGGCGACGTCTCAAAAAGAAAAAAATCGCGAACAGCAATACTCAGCGGATCACATTCGAGTGCGACTGAATCGAAGAAAAATCAAAGTCGAACCACATATTTTAGAAGAAATTGTATTTTCAATCTATTAATATTTCATTCAATACGTCCTTGGGACCGATGCCCGTGGTATAATATCTTCTTAGTTACCCGGCATTACAATAGTTTAATTTTTTTCCACCCCAGGAAATAAATAATACACCAGGGTGCCGATTTTAGGAGATGATTTCTCAATTTGCGTTGCGTTGATCAGGAGGAGCAAGACTGAACGCGGGGCCTTCAGTTTCCGACATTGGCATGGGGTTGAATCTTTCGCTGGGCCGCGTTCGCTCGACTTCAAGTACCGTGGCCAAGCCCGTACGACGCTGCCGGGGCTGTTTACCGCCAGTTCTGGGCCGCTGATACGGTGACTGTTGCTTGCTGCCAGCAGCTTGAGATGACTGTTGCTTGCTGTGGCTCACCTGCTGTGACAAGCTATGGGATGTGGACGGAGATGATGGCGAGCAAGGAGCAAAACACGGCTGAGATTTCTGCCAACTTAACAAGAGTTCCTTAAGAGCAGGATCACTGCTTTGAGAGCTTAAAAGAGTTGAAGCAGAAACACCAGAATCGTAACTATTGTTGCGACCATCATTGAGATTGATATAATAATCACCGGAACCAGCAGGTGGAGTTGGTGGAGTACTAGTCAGAACAACTTGAGATGGAGAAATACTACCCGAAGAATTCAACACTGGCGAACCCGACCCGAATCTGGGACTATCAATATGACCAGGCAACATTGAACCCCGAAAGTCAACAGGAGCTTGTACAGAATAATGACCAGAGATTGTGTTCGGAAACACGACTGCAGGACTTTCTAATGACGAAAGCCCTGTGGCTGAGTTATGACTACTCAAAGAAGACTCCTCGGTAGTAGTGCTAGAATTGGCTTCTGATCCATAGTAATCTTGAGGAACATTAAAATTCATAACATTGTAACCCTGATTGGTGTTTTCGCTATTGAACTCTGAGATATCATCCATTAGTACAGTGTCCTTATTTGCGTTAATATCCAACGATGAAATACTGTTAGTCCCAGCATCAGAAGCCAGGTTCTTAATGTTGCCTATGCTATCACGAGTCACATCATAGTCGCTGATCTCCATTGCGTGGAGGGACTGCGCTAAGCTTGGTGATGAGGAATCATTGACCAAGGATCTACGCGAAGGCGACCGTAGCAGTGGACGAGGACTTTCGTAAGCTTCACAATTGTTGTAAGGGATTGACGAAGAATCAAGATTGTCATTCCGCCTTACAGGACGACCAGACATGATACCAGGCGAGGGGTCCAGTCTGCTACCAGAACTTTCACTCGTGTTCAATAAGGATAGAAAATTGGCGGAGAATCCAGAATCTTGTAGACAAGGAGCCTTTGAATGAGGAGGGATCCCAGACACGATTCCGTGACTAACGGAGTCACGTAAATGAATCATTGGAGTGCCTGAGGTGATACCAGCTACCGTTGAATCGCACACAGGAAGACCAGATACAATGGAGGGTAAGGAAGTATCGCAAGGAGAACAAACCGGCAAGCCGGCTGTAATACCACCGGTTATGGTGAAGGAAGACGCAGAGTTACGCGTGGCCATGAAAGACAACCTGTCACCATCGCACAAATTGTTGTTTGGAAGAGAATCACACGAGCTGGTATTACTGTTGTGCATGTCAGGAACTCCAGGCAAATTTCCAAGCAGGTCTGGGTCTAAATGGTCGATTCTAGGAGCAGTGATCTCTGAATATCGGCCTCCGCGGCGCACAGGCCGTCCAGCCGAAATGCTGCCGCTCATGTCGAAGCTGCGCCTTCCTCTAATGACCGGCATACCGGACGTGATGCCACCGGTGCTGCAGGATTCAGAGATACTGATGTTGGGCAAGAGGTGGGAGCTTAGAGCGAGATTTTCACGAGGTCTTCCAGCCGTGATGCCACCACGCATTAGAGAAGAAGAAGCGGCGCTTAGCAACGAGCACACTGAGTCGGATGCTCGTCTCTTGATACGAACAGACGGAGACGACGAAACCCGGCTTTTGGACGATAAAAGCACGTTTGATGAAGATTCTATATGAGGCTCAATAGAATAAACGGACGCGAGGCTGGCAAGGTCCGTAGATGCATTGGCTTTAGTTAGGCTGGTAACTGCGTGACGAGATGAAGACTGGAGTCTTCTGCCAGAGCTGTCTTCATCAAGACTATCGAAGTCTTCCTCAGGTATGCAAAGTCCTAACCTGTGATGATTGTCTTGGCTGAACTGCCGTTTGAGTTGCTGATGCAGAGGTAAATACGATTGGTTCATACGAGCCTCCGCCTCCAATACCAGCTCGGGACTTATCACTGCACCATTAATCAACAAATGCGGAACCAAAATAAGGGAAAAAATTTATTCGAGGGCTTGTAATAAAAAAACCTCGAGGTGAATTTTCAGGAGCAGATTACCGATGCAGGTATTCAACATTGCTAGCAGCATTGCAATGATGATCAATGCTTTGATGTTTGGTTAATAGCAATCAAGGTATTTATTAGGACCACCGAAAATAAGGAGATACAAGGATGTGTACGAAGCATCCAGAACAGATATTGTCGCGGAAACGGTTTTTAAAAAGTCGACCGCACCAAACATAGAATATTGCAACGAGGGAAAAAATAATCGAGTAGCAAAACCAATGATGAACAAGAAATGGCAAAGAAAGCAACGGAAAAATAAGGAAATATATCGGTTCCAGGGGTAGATACGGAAGCAAGGAATTACGATAGATAAGATAAGAACAATAAAGATGACCGCCAAACTCAACGTGAAGAGAATGATGCAGGAATGAGGAGAGGGATTTAAAAAAATACACATTAGAAACTTGCTAGGATAAAATATAAATAAATACAAAAATTAAATATACAAGTGTTGAACAATTAAATAAATTCTAATGTGGCTACCGTCAATGACACACGAGTCGCCGCTCTTCAGCAGTCACTACACTTCACCCATCGCTTGTCAATGATTACGGCAAAATAGGTACTGTACCAGTTTGACTTAGAAATCATAATATTTTTATTATGATTTCTAAGGACGATAATATGGTGAAATACTGGTCAAAAATTCATTTTCTATTATGATTTCTAAGCACGATAATACGGTGAAATACTGGTTAAAAAATCATTTATGTCGTGCTTTATGAACACAATAAAACATTTTTAAATGTCCTCATAAAGTCTCTCTTTTATTCAGTAAACAAAACAGACCTTTAGAGTTTGTTGTCCTATAATACTTTTATTCAGTAAACAAAATAGTTTAGAATTCTTGGCTGGCGACATGAGAGCTGAGGCGAGTTGAATGACTGACGGTGGCGATAAAAAACGAGATTTTGCTACCGGGATGTTACACTCAAAGAAATGGATGAAACTGTCCAAATAGTGAAGCGCTTTTGTCCTTGTGTGGACTATCCTGAGTCAGACTGGCCTGGCAACAGAACGTATCAATGATACGTACGCTCTCTGCTCATGGGTAGGAAAGTGCGTCACTATTTGGACAACATGACCCAATTATTTTATTGTTTGGGATATTAGGATCTCGATGAGGGAGCTACACTGATAGATAAATCACCATTAAACGGTATTACCGGCTTTTCAATAACCGGCCGGCACGTGAAAATAATCATCGTGTTGCCGTTTTTATTCCAATTTTACACTAGAAACCAGTGTAACATCTGAAAAAATGGAAAAACGGTTTATTTTCACGGGGCGGCTGGTTACTAGAACACCGGTAAGACCGTTTTTTCACCGTTTTTTCGAACAGTGTACAGGGTATGAGGTATCAGGATAGTACGACACAAAATACTACAGTTTCATATGAAGAAAAAAAAATAAAATGCGGGAAGTACAGGTCTCTAATTAACAGTCTACAACTTGCAAACTTATTAGCAATACTGAAAAATTAAATAAACTTGAATGCAGCAGGAACACAAAATAGATTAAAGTTCGTGCGGTTCACTACGATGCTCTGAGCAATTAACGTAACAATACAGTACGACAAAGAACAAACTTTCAAGTCAAAGCTACTCTTAAAAAAATATTATTAGGCGTCTCACTAGGTGAGAAACGAAGTCAGCTTGTATCTTGTTCAAGCCAGAAATATATCTGCACATTATTACACCTTATTATCTTTCTGTGACCTAACCTAGTCTTTCAAACCTAATAAAATTTTGAACAATTCAATTCTTACACTTTTGAATACTTTTTTGGAACAGCATTTAAACCTAAATAATTTTAGGGTGCGCCATTTCTTACACGTTCGACAGTCATTTTCTGTGACATCTTTCATAATAATAAATAATAATAGCGGTTTCAACTTTCAGTGGGCCGTAGGTCTGTCACCGATTCTTAACATCGCAGAAGTTAACATCGACAGCTTGTTGCGGTCTCGAACACGCAACTCACTCCTCCAATCTTGGTACTCTGAACTGTAACGACTGGGTCACCCTGCCCAGTTCATGCCTTATATGCGTGTGGGTGAACTTATGAACCTTAAAAGTGTAAAATGAGCCATAGCTTATTTTTAATTCTTCAACCTGCTCGAAGACAAGCTAGTAAGCATTTTCTCGTGAAGCAAGTTATCACAAGTTAGTACCAGGAAAATATTTCATGGCACGCATGCACCGGACCAGCGGTCCTATTTTTTTCAGAGGTACGTAGTGCATTTTAAATAATTTTCTGTGAATTTCTCGTGATGCGACAATAATATTGACTTCAGTTCCAGCGCTCTGATGATTTGCTGCACCAATGCACTCGAACATCATTAATTAGTGCTCAAGAAGTTAGGGCAAATATATTGGCACGGCATCAACATAAAATAAACTAAAAACACGAAACATTTAGTGTATTTATGCATGTAAATTCTTGGTTACTAGCACTAATAGCTTCATTTGATGGCTTCAAGAGGCGTTCTAAGGAACGAGTTGCAATTAATCCAATTAATTGTCCCTTCAACAGAGCAAAATCCCTGGGGCCATACTTTCAAAACTCGCTAAGTTGGCGTAAGTACTTACGTTCTATTTTCACGTCTACGATTGGTGGATTTTGCTTGAAAGGCCGCCAATGATTGGCTGATGAACTTACGATCTCTTAACTTTTTTTTGAAAGTATGGCCCCTGGTCTGTCCGGGGAGTATTGAGACCAGGAATTTTTGCAGCCTAAACAGCACATCATTTATGATATTCAGTATATTACACGATTATTTATATCCGCATTGCACTAAACCCTCTCCTACTAAGTCTCGACATTGAAATCAATATTTTCATTAACATCAATATCGCACATAAGTATATGCAGGAGGTAGCGATGTTAGTTAAGTAAACTGAAGCTAGGGTTCGATTGCCGGAGTGACAGGAAAATTTGATGGAGACACTCTAGCAAGATTGTGAGCGCAGCCGTTTCAATTTTAACAGAACATGATATCTTTAGCTCAGTTTAACGATTTAGGTCAATATACATGAGGAAGTTAAAGTTCACGTCAAGGTATTGGAAAAAGTTAAAGTTCACGTCAAGGTATTAGAAAAAGTTAAAGTTCACGTCAATATACAATGAATATGAGGAAGTTGAGATGCAACCCACTTGGCCACATCGTTGGGGTCGATGGGTTCATCTCTAAAGAGCTGAGCAGGAGACGAAGGTGAAATGAGCAGCAAGTTGTCAGTGGTGGAGGTGCTGTGGGTGTTGCAGTCACTGCTGCAGTCACTCGTGCTAGATGCAACCCACTTGGCCACATCGTTGGGGTCGATGGGTTCATCTCTGAAGAGCTGAGCAGGAGACGAAGGTGAAATGAGCAGCAAGTTGTCAGTGGTGGAGGTGCTGTGGGTGTTGCAGTCACTGCTGCAGTCACTCGTGCTGCTCGTGCTGCTGCAGCACACTCCACCCCCACTAGGGCAGCACACACCAACACCTCCTCCGCTGTCACCGCCTATGTCCGGGACGTCGGTCTGTGCAAAGGTTGCTTTTTAAACTAGGTGTTCAAAAAATTGAGCTTGGATTATTTCCTGCTGGGCTAGTGTAAGACTTTGAATACATGATGCAGAAAGGAACGGAGGTCCGCGACTTGAAAAAAAGGTTTTATTTTCGTCCGCACCGGGTAATCCTACACACCACAAGCGACAAAGGTTCAACGAAGCAGGTACACAACAAACGAAGTACAGGATGTGCACAGGACGAACGAAGTACAGGAACATACAAACAGGATAAACTGCATCTTAAAATTCAGGTGCTGTACCTCACTTTTAAGTACGAAATATTTCAACAAAAAAATAAATTCCTGATTCATTGATAGTGCACTTGCAAAAACTGGGATCGCTCTCAACATGAGATTATTCAGACCTGCATATGCTGGTGTTGGTGAAGGTGTTGATGATGATGGTGGTGGTGAGGGGACGACCGTAGGGGGGGAGGAGGGGGTGAGGGGGAGGCCAGGGAGCGCTGGTACAGAGGCTGCAGGTTTGCTCCGCCGTCAGAAGCGCGACGACCAAAACCACCAGCTGAAGATAACAAGAATTAATTAGACACATAATGATTGTTAGGTAATGATAGAAAAATTAAACATCCATATTAATGCGGAAGGAAACCGGCCATCATCCAAATTACTCACCGACACGAAATGATAATCATCGGAATTATTCATGGCCAGAAAATGATAGTCAATCATCAGAGTAACTCATGGCCAGATATTTTAACGTCTTTGAACTACGAAATAAACAACATAATTTAAGCCACTTTTGTACTAGTAATCAAAGGTATTTGAAGTATGAATCTTAAATCAAGTATATAACTATTCATTATAAATGAATGAATCAAGATTGTAGCGATTCATTGTTTATGAATCAAGTATGTAACGATTCATTATGTATGAATCAAAATTCTTGACATAATTTGTATCTGCGAATGAAAAGAACGCACCAGACTCAAGGATGGACGGAGGCTTGAGCAAATGTTGATCTTTATGGTAAGTTTGGGGGACCAGAAATGGCCCTCCTCTTGCACCGCCCGTTTGCATGAACTGCGCAGGCGTGGGCCCATACATGACACCCCTGCTATACGACGCCTCGCCCCCAGCATCCGCCCCCAGCAAACTGGCGGAGGTGGCGGTGGTTTGGTGCATGTGGTGCATGTGGGAAAGCTGGTACTCCAAGGGCACCATGGTACCACCATGAGTAGTAGTGGTGCCTCTGGAGTAATCGTAATGCACCACACCAGGGACTCCGTTGACACCTGCTTGTCCTGAGATGCCGAGGCCTCTGAAGGCCGACAGCGCAGTGGAGTACACGCTGGGGTTGCCGGGCTGGTCGACGGTGGGCGACCAGTGCGGTGACATCAGCATACCGAAATGCTGTACTGCATTCAATGTCTGGTGAAAGAACGGAGTTTATCAAGAAATAAACCAAGAAAATAGTTCCTTATAAAATAGTTGTAACAAATATTGAAAAAGTAAACTACCAAGCTGTGCGCGAGTTTCCAGTGCATTGCTTTGAGCTCCCTTTTCGAAAACCACATAAAATCAAAATTTTTTATGAATGAATATACATTCAAAATTTCAAATTAATAAAAAGTAATACCCCGGCATGACAGTTATCATGGACACACGCCGAAACAGTTCTTATATATTTTCAGCACCAGGGCTAGAAAACAAACTTAATCAAGATAAAAAATATCATAATTAGTTTATTACTCTGTTCCTACTTCCACATCAATGTAAACACAAACAAATGTTAACAGGACAGCCGATGACAGCTCCAAAGACCATCTGATGTATGTATGTGAAATAGGAAGTACTAGGTAAGGATGCATTGTTTGCAATGATAACACGACGCTAGTGGCTACCAAATCAATTTACTAACAAATCTGCGGACAGTGGCTAGCAATGGTGTAGGGTGTCACTGGGGCCCACTGTATGATGCCCCATGCCCACCTGATGGTGCAGGGTGTCACTGGGGCCCACTGTATGATGCCCCATGCCCACCTGATGGTGTAGGTGTCACTGGGGCCCACTGTATGATGCCCCATGCCCACCTGATGGTGTAGGGTGTCACTGGGGCCCACTGTATGGCGTCTGGAGCTCAAATACTTCTGGGCATCGCTGTGCGCCGCCCCCGGGTTGGCAGCGACCCCCGTGGTGGGGTACAGGGCGGAGGGCTGCTGCTGGGGGAGCTCCCCGTCCATCATCTCAGCCTCAACGTCGCTGTCGAGACTCAACTCTGTGCCCGACCACGTGTGCTGCAACACAAAGACTACAATTACGACAAGACCATCATTAGCTTCTAAGATGATATAGCCTGCATCACAACAAATGCTGATACAACCTACATCTTGACAAATGATGCTGCGATCTTCATCATGATCAACGATAATAGATGAGCAATTAGCATATTTATTCGCTTGTCCATGTTACTCCTAAAATAACATAATCTAGTTCAAGAGGTATCTTGGCATCATGAACCGTCTTGGGTCAAATACGCTACCATCATTAAAGGATTGATCTGGCGAGCTTGTAGTAAAGTGAAATTTCAAATGAGACCGATTAAAAATCAACTAAACCAAATTACAAACGTCAGACATCTGTATTTTTGCACATGTTTATAGCCACCAGTTGACAACACAGGCAAAACATAGAAGTCCGCTCTGCCCACCAAACTGACTGGTGACTTGAATAAAAACTGACTCGTTTACATTTATTTTGTATGTTACACGAGTGAATTAGAAAACCTTATCGAGGGGCGCCACGAGGTTGAGGTTTGCTGTGAGGGGCGAGTCGTTGCCTGGTATCAACGATGACGGTGATGCGAGGTCCAGAGAGTTGCGCCCCACCATGCCTGGGGAACATAAGACCAATGTCAGAGATAATATTAATATAATAATGTAGTGTATAATAATGTATAATGTAAGAGATAATAATAATAAACTGAAGCTAGGGTTCGATTGCCGATTCCAATAAGGAAATTTTGATATTTTTTCTGCCACGCCTAAGCAACAGATGATAGTATGAGAAAAACACAAGGAAATTTTTATATCTTTTTTTCTACCAAGCCTGAGCAACAGATGATAGTATGGGAAGAACATAAGGAAATGCACATTTCTTCGTTCAATCGCACCCGAGAAAATCAGAAGAATGCATAATTGAATAGCACATACCTATACTAAGATCTATTACAACTGGGTAGGAAGATGGCATTGGGAGAAAGCCATTATGTTCGTTCAAACTCAATACACCATAATTTATTAGAAAAAGTTTGAGACATAGCAAGAAATAACGTCATCTGGGATATTGATTCTGAGTTTAAGTTTCCGTTATAATCATCCCATACTTTTTACCACAGCCTAGATACACACACGAGCTTCTGTGGAAGAAATTATTTTCCTCATAGCTACTGCAAGAATCGAAGATCTCGAGTCATATAATTAAATTATAAAAAGAAAAATTCCGTTTTTCTTTCTGAGCTAACTTTCAAGTTCTCACCGTCATACAGTGGACAAGTGTACAGAATTTGTCTATGAGATTCAGAGATAAAATCTTTCATTAATTATTACAAACAAATTAGCTGAAAATTTTTTAACACAGCTTTAGTGTGTGGGGTCACACAAACCGGTGGTGATGGACGACTTCCTGGCCAGAGTTTGGGGAGGCACTGGCAGATTATGGAGCGATGCTGGCGACAGGTCCAGTGATGAAGGTGAGGTGGAGGCGCCCGGTATACTACCTTGTCGAGGGGCGCCACGAGGTTCAGGTTTGCTGTGAGGGGAGAGTCGTGGCCTGGTATCAACGATGACGACGATGTGAGGTCCAGAGAGTTGCGCCCTACCATGCCTGGTGAACATAAGACCAATGTAAGAGATAATATTAATATCATAATGTAGTGTATAATAATGTATAATGTAAGAGATAATATTAATATCAATATCGCCTAGAACTGAGTGAAGGAGGTTAATGAAGCTAGGGTTTGATTGCCGATTCCAATAAGGAAATTTTGATATCTTTTCTGTCACGCCTAAACAGCAGATGATAGTATGAGAAAAACGCAAGGAAATTTTTATATCTTTTTCTACCAAGCCTGAGCAACAGATGATAGTATGAGAAAAACATAAGGAAATGCACATTTCTTAGTTCAATCACACCCGAGAAAATCAGAAGAATGCATAATGGAATAGCACATACCTGTTAAGATATAGGCATCACAACTGGGTAAAAAGATGGCATTAGGAGAAAGCCAATATGTTCGTTCAAACACAATAACGCTATAATTTATTAGAAAAAGCTTGACACATAGCAAGACATAACGTCAGCTGGGATATCGATTCTGTTTCAGTTATAATTATCCCATAACTTCTACCAGATATAAATTATTATATTCACGAGATAAATTCTTTTCTTAATTATTACAAGCAAATTAGCTGCAAGTTTTTCAATACAGATTTAGTGTATGTGGTCAAACAAACCGGTAGTGATGGACGATTTCCTGGCCAGAGTTTGGGGAGGCACCGGCAGACTATGGAGCGATGCTGGCGACAGGTCCAGTGATGAAGGTGAGGTGGAGGCGCCCGGTATACTCCCGTCAAGAGAGAGCGATGAAGGCAAGGATGTGGGCAAGAATAAAGGCTGCTGCGCCACCACGTTGCTGTACTGCCTTATTCGGTCCACTTGGAGGTCGTGAATGGCGCTCAGGCTGTCAAACTTCTGGCCTTCCACTGACTGTAATTTGTAATTATTTAAACAGGTGAGTAAATAATATAATTATTTATACACCAGTATGGTGAATTAAACAACGTAAAAATAGTAATAATATTAAATAATTATGCAGTGGTATATAATTAATAATACACCAGTGTAATTATTACGCCACCTTTTAGCCCTTGAGAGACTGTAACACATAAATTCCAATGAAATTATTATCCTCTGATAATCAATCTTAAGTAACATACATCAGCGTTATGATTACCACATTTCTCACCGTCCACTGAGTACAGAAATCCATACCAGTGTTACATTAGCCAGGGTAAACAGTCATCAACAATGCGTGACCTACAGCATAGTGTACCAGTACGGTTAGCAGTGATCTACTATTGTCATAACGATATTACTGAACATTTCATTATAAATACCAAGTATTAAACAATGAAATAAACAAAGAAACTCTTATGACCTGCAGCACAGTGTTCCAGTACGACTTGCAGTGATCTACTATTGTCATAACTATATTACTAAACATTTCATTATAAATACAAAGTATTAAACAATGAAACAAACAAAGAAACACTCGTGACCTGCAGCACAGTGTTCCAGTACGACTAGCAGTGATCTACTATTGACATAACTATATTACTGAACATTTCATTATAAATACCAAGTAGTAAACACTGAAATAAACAAAGAAACACTCATGACCTGGAGCACCGTGTCCCTGTCCACGCCCAGCCTGGCGGTGATCTGTTCTATGACGAGTTCGCTGGCGCTGCCGTCGCGACACTCCAGCTGCAGGCGCTCACAATCTTCTGGACCCATGCTGGCTCCGTGCTGTGGTACCACACCATATTGTGGCTAATAAGTTATTGTGGCTAATAAGTTATTGTGGCTAATAAGTTATTGTAACTATAATGTAACTAATGCAAGTTCAGTATTATGGTGAGCGCACTGCAGCATTGTAGCGCAAGATTCAAGCATTGATTGGATGCATCTTACTTCCTTGCTGACCAGACCCACACCCAATGATGGCGTCAGGGATTCAAATGAAACTTGGCAGCGACAGAAACGGTAACAATTGCGTTACAGCGTCAATTTTTTTAATATATATGTATGGGTTGTGCTGCTGTAGCGTATCTAATGTCTGTTTTTTAACTCCCCTATTCAAAGAATATAAATAGAAGCTTCAAACTTGAAATGAACAGTCTTATAAGCAGCATCCATTTAAATAATACAAGTGTATAACATCAATGACTAAATTCTAACAAGTAGGATGGATATCTAGGAATGGTCGTCATATGATCACCATGTGAATTTAGATAATGAATATGCGATAGTCATTTATTATTATCGCTCCAGCTGGGTCAATTACTCAATTCAAAAATATAAGCTGCGTACTGAAAGCAAAGAAATTCCCTGGCAAATTCATGCTGCGAGCAGGAATGACGCCTCGGTTGTTGTAAATAATTCATATGAACTAGAATAGCTATAATAAACTATTAATTATTTATATAAACTATTATTGTTTGAAATAATTCACATGAACTAGAATAATTATTATAAACTATTAATTATTTATATAAACTAGTAATAATTAAAGAAGTCACCAGTGCCAGCCAGCGATGCTGCAGGATTTGAGCCAAACTCAGTCTTCTGTCAGGGTCAACCTGCAGCATTTTTCTGATGAGCTCTTCACATTCTGCATATGTACAAAGATCATTTAAATAACTTATCATTGTAAGTCAACACTAGCAAGTCTAAATTGATGTCATTTATACATTACATCACATCAAGTCCACACAATAAATTCAACATGAATATCATCCAAATATCACTGAGTCAATAATGATTCGGTGCATTTTAGCGCATTGTCTAAAGTCTAAACCAACACAAGCTCTCCAAAAAGTCAACTTTTCATCATGTTGCATAAACAATGAGAAAGTAAGCTGAGATAATTTTAAGATAAGAAGAACTACCTGTGGACATGAAGTACGGTATTCTGAACATGCCGGTGAGAACTTTATTCCTCAGCTCTCCGATGTTTGGAGGGTCAAAAGGCAGGTACCCGCACACCAGCACATACAACACCACGCCCAGACTCTGCCAATATAATACATTAATTAGTAACTGTAATTTAATTTACAATTCAAAGTTCATTCAAATCAAGAACTACACTAATATATCAAAGGCTATTAAAATTAGTCAAGATTGAACTAATAAATATTCAATATTCAGGCATCAGGCTGGGGGTTTCAAGATGGAAAACGGCTGCATGTGAAATTTCAGAGCTCAGCTACAAGAAAAGCTCGTGTAACAATTATAATAAAATGAGTTATTGATCATAATATGGAGGCATTATTAGTGACAGCCACGCGTTATTTACTTCATTTGTAATACTTGAAATATAGAAAGGCTAGAGATAGTGAAAATGTGACCTAGAGACAATACATTCTTCATATGCATATTAAATATGTATGACCTAAAGATTGAATATGCCGTTACCTACCACTACCAGAGTAGCATATTATTGCCAACCATACTAGTGAGCAATTTTATAATGAACGTTTAGAAGGGTGCACAAGTTCACTAGGTACTATAGAACATTCATCTGCTCATGAATAGACCGGCTCAGTGTGCAATATACTGTAAATGCAACTGGTGTGAATTTAAGAATGATTGACCTCAATTGTTGGCTCATGGGAGAGGGAAATATTGCAGTGTACAACTTTGTTACTCGCGAGTCAATTGAATTGTATAGATAACCATTCTATGGTTGATCAGATCATACCCAGATGTCAGCCTTGGGGCCATTGTATAGTCTCCCCTCAAAGAGTTCGGGAGCGGCATAAGGTGGGGAACCACACCACGTTGACAGTGGCTGGCCCTGCAGGTGGAAGTTGCTGAACCCAAAGTCTGCAATGAATGTAGCATGTAAATCATCACTGTATACATGTGAAAAAAAAAATTTATAAATGGTTTAATTCAAATCATCTGTGCTAAAGTTGCTCACCATAAGAATAAAAAAAATTACTTTATTATCAATGGAAATTAATAGCATAGCAGATCCGTCAATAAAAACTGTCAATGAGTTATTTATTGATCAACACATAGATGTAAAATAACAATACCAGAAATGAATATTGATAACTTACCTGCTATTTTTATATTGTAATTTTGGTCAAATAATACATTCTCAGCCTTAAGGTCTCTGTGAACAATGCCCTTCTGATGACAATAAGATATGGCAGCGGCCATTTGACGAAACTTGTCTGCTGCTAACGATTCTTTCATCCGTCCATGTTTGGCAATATAATCTGAGGAAATTTACAAACCAGTTAATGAACCAATGCAATAGGAAGAGTATGGACACCGACATACATAAAAAAATATTCAATTTAGTTCTAAACAAGAGATAGAACTAATTAAATGAAGCAATGCCTCATACTGTTGACATAGAGAGACAGATTTACTATATAAATTTGGTTTTCAATTTTCCCAATTAAGTCCTTCACTAGAATCAAGCATTGGGCAGGAAATTCAAGTTAAATGCATTAACACATAGAACATATTTTTAAATTACTTAGGAACTACTTGAAATTTATTGCCAAGTTTCAAGTATTGTCTTTACACTTTCTGCTCTCGTGACAGTGCAGGTTTCAAGATTCCACATACCCTTTCCATCAGCCATCTTCAAGAGTCATACATAAACTGAGCAATATAAGATTGTCAAGTACTCACACTTTCTTTAATATGGCATTAGAATGTATGAAACAACCATACATTTTTAATTAAAAATTACAATGAGCTATAGAACAAAGGTAGCCAGCTACAATCCAGACAATACATTTATGCTGGACTACTGGGCAGTACTGGCACATTGAACTGGCACACAGGATTAGCTGAGCAGCTGGTGCCAAAGTTGCTGGTTCAACATCAATCTCTCAACTAATGACCAGCAATAATACAGCTGCACTTAGAACTGGCTAAAAAGTCACTGCAGTGTCTATCACAAGGCTGCCAAACATACACATTCATAAATGCCTAATGAGAATGTGGCACATGCTAAATAATCTTAAAATTTAAAAGAAATGTAAAAAAGAAATGTGGACACTTAACACGTTGACTACGATTGCTTCATCTTGTACAATTATTTCATTTTTTGTACTTTTTTTTACGGCTAACATTTATGATAGGGGTACTTCCTAATTAAATTTTAAATACTGCAAAAAGAAAATAAATGGAATTTTTATAGCGGAACCTACAAATAAACTAGTATACCTTGAATTATCGGCCTTTTTTGGCCTTTTTTGTTCTCAGATTTGGCCGATTCTAGGCAACCTGAATTATGTACCACTACCTCCTGGAGAAATACATTTCGTGGTACACATATGTACCAACACGTAGTCAACGTGTTAAATGGCAAATAACAGAAAGACAAATCAAAGTGAAAATAATTGTCACACCAAATTGGTTCCTAACCATCCCTTTTTCTTGGACCATACAACAACATAATTGAATCAAATATTACAAACACTTTTGAAATGCAAACAATAAGTCACTATTTTTAAATTTCAATAGATCCAAATTAAAAAAAAATATATATCTGTAAATAGTAAAGTGGCTTGTAATCAAAAACTTAAACATTCAAGCACACTTCCAGTAGCTAATTGCCAAGAAAGCAGTGCACAAGTTTACTCTGAATTTTTACATTTTAACTTGGCCCTCAATTAATAGAAAAGTCCAAGAATGTTTTACATGTGCAATAATCATGGAGAACAGCAACACTGAATAATGCAAGCAAGAAATGATCAAGTGTACTAACCAAAAAGTTCTCCTCTCTCTGCATATTCTGTGACAAGATATATAGATCTTTGTGTCTCCATCACCTGTGGGACAGGACAACACATGATCATGAAAATAATATTATAACACTCGGGGTAATTTTCATTAGTCATTAATGTTATAAATTTTTGAAAAGATTTAAGGTTAGCCCATGTATAGAATGACCTTAAGTCAAACAGTTATACAAGTAAAAAAATGGCATTGGTACAGTAGTTAATGGAAAAAATATAAATTTGATGGTCATCTTCAAGATCAGTAGATATTTGGTACATCCAAACCAAAATTTTTCCAAAAATAATTAGATTTAAAATTGAGAATATTAAAAGACCAACAAATTTATTTTAACAAGCTTATATATACCATATCAGAGAGATCTAAATAAGCCTATAAGGGAACATTTTTCAAGCAATGGAAACTAGCTTGAAAGTAGACCAGTCATGTGAAACTTGTACATACATTACAGTGTCATCATTTGTTTCTACTTTCATATAATTTATAATTACTAGCAGCACCAATGCTACATTTCTAATAATGTCATACAATTACACACACTGCAAAAATATCCCAAAGCAAAAGGAGTTGTACCTGATACAGTCTTGTGATGTGTGGATGTCGTAGTCTCTTCATTACCTCAATTTCCCGCATTACTTTTTGATGATTGACTTCATCTCCAAGCTTTGTTTTGTCTATTATTTTGATGGCAACCTGAAAACAAAAATTTAGGTTAGATTTTCAACACATGTCAACATAGCATTTATGTATTATGTATGTAAATATCCATAATAAGGTATCATAATGATCAATGTAAAAAAGTACAAGTACAGATTTTAGGTTGACTTTAAATGTCAAAAAACTTGTCCAAAAGTTTCAAATAACCTACATTAACATAGCACACATTATGATCATAGAGGATGACCGACAGATAGCAATTTTAATGGGCAGCCAGTTAGGTTAGGAACTTAGGATAGCATCAAAAATATCTATAAAATGTATTATCACAAGCTTAATTGCCTCTAAAAAGAGTTTGAATCAAGTCAAATTTATTTTAATAATTATTAATATTAAAATTTGGCATAATATAGGTGCTTATATGCACAGCTTGTGAAGTAGTTCAACTATAAAACTCAAAATGGCTCTCCTAAGCTTTGAAAGGGTATTCAAGGCTCAAAATTTCATAAATTTACAGGATAACAGTTTAAAAAATCCAGTCACACTGTCCCAGGCTCACAGCCAGTGTGGAATTCTAGAGGGATATTAAATTAACCAGTACACATAGCATATTGGAAAGCAGGACCTGAAAGCTTGGAAAGGCCAGGAACTTTCCACTTTCAGTCCATCATATTTCATATCATATACATAACCTATCACTTTCCAGCAGTGATTGGTTGATGGGATTGTGATTTTAGCCCCTTCCAGCTGTGATTTGTTAATGGAATTGTAATGTTATCTGCTTTCTAGCTGTGATTGGTTAATGGGGATGCTTTCAAGCTGTGATTGGTTGATGGAGATGCTTTCAAGCTGTGATTGGTTGTGCCCATAAGCCCTGCCCCCAAACATGGTATATGTCTACAGTACTGGTTAACTAAATACTCAACTTAAACTTGATCATTACAAACAAAAAGCCTGGATAATTTTTAAAAAATTCATTAAATAAAAGAAAAATAGAAAATATCTAGCAAACAATTTTACAACAAATCTGAGCCTTCTGAGGTACTGTACAATTGAAACAGTTTGTCCACTTTTGATTCTCCTTTTCATTTATAGTCAGTCACCTGGCACTTGGCAGAGCACTGTATCTAAGGAAAGCATTCCACCTTGGGTGGAAAGCTTTTTTATAAGTGAACTTTCATTTCTAGAATTCCACCCTGCTCACAGCCAGCCTGCCATGCATAGAATATAGGTAGCTAGCTATCCTTTTGAGCTGCAACGGTGCAACCACAGCCTTGACTTGAGCCTTCCTGACATTTTTAGAGCCGCAAGATTCCTGATAATGAATTATGTCCAATCTGATTGTTAACAAAAGTCAAGAGTGCACAAAGCTGAGTATGCACAAAGGTTACACAAGACTCCAAAAGTATTGAATATTTGTTGGCTACCTAAATTGTTGCTTCGAAGCCACAAGATTTCATTCATTAGTAATAGTAAGAAATTCCAGTCCTGTTTAAAATAAGTCACAGCTCACTGGGCTCAGGAGTAAAAATTTTCTACACTAGCCTCGTAGCTTGCAAGTACAAGTTGCTAGATCAAAAAATATTAGCTGTTTTTATCATTAGATCACAATCCAATTCCACCTAGCCTGTGACCTAGGTGTATTGTGCATCTACCATTTATTTATTACTGATAAAAAATTGCATCCTAACCCTGGGCCCTGGCACTCACTAGGTAGGCTACTCCAGGCAATAGCTTAAATAGGTAGCTAGTTTCAATTTCAACTCATGCATTCGGTCAATTCAGTTCCAGTCTGTTGTGGTTCAAGGTTTCTACTCTAAACCCCTAATTGCTCGGTAAATATAGCAATTCACTTTAGTTTGGTAATCTGGATTATTTCATTTGAGCAGTTTTTATGTATTTCTTTAATAAATGTTTTTCTACTTAGATCTCGTAACTAGGCTAACATCATAACATGTGTGTAAACATAAACTTTGACGTAGGTACACGAAACTTCATCTCACCTTCGATTCGGTTACAATGTGAGTTGCAAGTTTGACAACGGCAAAATTTCCTTTTCCCACAGTCTTTTCAAGTTCATAATAGCCAATCCTACTCATTTTCCCTTTTGTACATGATACGGAGTGCAACTTCTGCACATCCATTGGTGCCATCTTGCAGACTGATGAGTGCCTCGTTTTTTAGGGAGGAACAGGTAGCCAGATACCCTATTTGAACGTAACTCCACTCAAGGGCAGATAAGGATGACCTATACATGAGACCTCCAAACGTAAAGCGTCCTAACCGTAAAGCGTCAAGTTAGAACTCGGGCAATAATTATAAAAGTCTTATTAATATATATGAGATCGTTCAAATTGGTTAGAATAAGTTTGCGGCATGTAAAATTTGAAATTATTCGTTACCAAATCTTCGGAGAACGGCGACGTAATTAATATCGAATGTGTTACGTCAAGTATTCTGCATTAGTTGTAATATATGTTCCTCAGGGCAAGTTTCAAGCTGTGTAGCAGCAACACTCGATTTAATCCAAGTGAATAGTTGATTTTAGAGGACGGTGTTTATTACTATTAGGAGCGTTATAACTGAAGACTCATAGACTTTTACAGTATATGTATACAAAAAATGTGCTCTGCAACAAGGACCCAAAATGATATTTATATACAACATATTTTCATTTACTGTTAAATATGGAGGTTTGAGTAAAAAATACTCATTAAAACTCAGTTATAGCTATTCCTGTAGAACAGTGCTTCTCAAAGTTTTTGTGACCGTGTGTCACTAGGAGTGCAACCACTAACAACACAGCTTAGTCATATACAGGGTGTCCCAAAAAAAACTATACCCAACTTTGAATGGCTGTAACGCGAAAAGTAATAGAGTTAAAAAAATTTGAGAGGTCAGAATTTGTTCCCTGTGTTTTTCTAATTCTCTCCACCAAAAATCAGACAGATCGATGTAGCCATAAGCGTTTGATAGAGCTTTCAGTGACGTGTGCTAAAATCGTGCTTGCGCAAAGTTTTAGTAAGATCATTTTTAAATGATCTTTTGTAATCATTACGTTGTTTTGACATGTTTTCTTTTTGTTGTTTTATTTTTTAGCGCATTTTCTCATTTATGAAAAAATGCACTATTGTGCTCGCCATGTCCGTCTGTCGGTCGGTCCTTCTGCCCGTCTGTCTGTCCGTCCGTGACTTCATGTTTTCGTCGACGAGAAAATGCGCTCTCTGTCACTCACTGCAGTGAGTACTGAGTTACATTTTTTGTATCTTTGGTGAGACAAAAACATGGCAATCTTTGGTGAGAGAAAATCTTTGGTTTTGAAATTCTCTCTCACCAAAGATTGCCATGATTGTCTCTCACCAAATATTGTCATGATTGTGTCTCACCAAAGATTGTCATGATTGTGTGTCACCAAAGATTGTCATGATTGCCTCTCACCAAAGATTGCCATGATTGTCTCTCACCAAATATAATGATTGCCTCTCACCAAAGATTGTCATGATTGCCTCTCACCAAAGATTGTCATGATTGCCTCTCACAAAAGATTGTCATGATTGCCTCTCACCAAAGATTGTCATGATTGCCTCTCACCAAAGATTGTCATGATTGCCTCTCACCAAAGATTGTCATGATTGCCTCTCACCAAGGATTGCCATGTTTTTGACTCACCAAAGATACAAAAAATGGAACTCAGTACTCACTGCAGTGAGTGACAGAGAGCACATTTTCTCGCCGACGAAAACATGATGTCACGGACGGAAAGACAGACAGACAGACGGACAGACGGACATGGCGAGCACAATAGTGCATTTTTTTATAAATGAGAAAATGCGCTAAAAATCAAACAGCGAAAAGAAAACATGTCAAGACAACGTAATGAGTATGCAAAATGATCTTACTAAAACTTTGCGCAAGCACGATTTTAGCACATGTCACTGAAAGTTCTATCAAACGCTTGTGGCTACATCGATCTGTCTGATTTTTTTGTGGAGAGATGGAGAAAAACATAGGAAACAAATCCTGACCTTTCAAAATTTTTTAACTCTATTACTTTTTGAGTTACAGCCATTCAAAGTTGGGTATCGTTTTTTTTGGGACACCCTGTATAATGTATGTAGTGCTGAATGCACTTCATAACATTTAGTGCGAAAATAATTAGCGCACTGTGTATGTTTGCATTGTTTTTAACCGTGGGTCGCCTTGGGACCGGTTTGTAGTGGCAGTTGCCAAAATATTTACAATTAACGTGAGTTGGGAATAAAACAAATACGGGCATTTATTAAGCACTAATAAAAGAGTCCACATGCATGCCACCCGGAAGACCATCGCGTACCAGAGTTGAGGAACCACTTACAGCTCAAGAGAATTTCTGATTGAACAAGACCCGCATCTTATATAGCGGTTTCAGCGTTGTTAGGCCGTAGCTCTGTCGCCGATTCTCAACATGCAGAACATCCACAGCTTATTGCGGGCTCGAACGCGCAATTCACTGCTACAATTCTGCTGTGCTTAACCGCCCGGCCTCCTCGCCGATTCTGACCTAAACTGGCGCACAGAGCTGGGATCGAACCCGCACCTCTCAGCTACAATTTGGTACTCTGAACTTTAAACATTGGGCCACCCCTGAAATTAGTTTAGTTTTTATAATTTTTCAAAGCCGTTATAACAAAAACATTATCTCGGCTGCTGCTGGTGTCAAGAATAACGATTTGATTCTAGGTTTGACGATAAATGAAGAAATTAAATAAATGGAAATGCAAACAAACAGGGACTGATAAAAATTTATAAACATACACTCCTGGCGGGTTTAACTCTATGAGTGACAATACATTTCTTCAAGCATGACATGAACCATAGTCAATACTAGGGACTGTTACTCCAAGTTTGCATTTATTCGTTTATAATTAGTTCCATTTAAAAAATTATATTGATAAATAACCAGTTTAAGGTTGAACGATTAAAAAGTGTTGCATAACCTTAACGTCGGATAATCATTTTAATAGGGCACATACGCCATCAACAACAACATTTAAAATTTAAATTCGCGATAATTATTCAGATCTTATTCATATATTCCGTGTTAACAGGTACACATTGCGAATAATAAGCTGGATTAACATGCTTTAGGATCCAGCCAAGCTCATCTGTCCAGCCAAGCTCATCCAGCCAAGCTCATCTGTCCAGCCAAGCTCATCCAGCCAAGCTCATCCAGCCAAGCTCATCCAGCCAAGCTCATCCAGCCAAGCTCATCCAGCCAAGCTCATCTGTCCAGCCAAGCTCATCCAGCCAAGCTCATCCAGCCAAGCTCATCCAGCCAAGCTCATCCAGCCAAGCTCATCCAGCCAAGCTCATCTCGCGGCAGGGAAGCGAGCTCTATTTGGTTTATTAAAACTTTATAATCAATGATAATACTATTTCTTCGTAGTCTAGTGTGTATAAAAATAAAATACATTCTTAGTATAAGCATTTGGTAAAACACGCAATAAGACTGTGCACGGTATTTGAGAAATACAAATCCATTTCACTTTACGCATTTCTAACAGAGCTTTATTTTCTCGGGCAATTTTTAATTTGCTTAAACTCGAAACACTTAAATAGTCAACAAGTAAGTTTGATCAAAATTGAACGATACGAAAATTATAAGTGTACTCGAAATAGAATATAGTGAACAAAAAAGCATGCAGAGACATTACAATCGCGATGGAATTCATAAGCTGATACAATGATAGTATAGTGGTATAGTATACAGTGATATAGTATACAGTGGTATAGTATAGTGGCATAGTATAGTGGCATAGTATAGTGGTATAGTATAGCAGTTTCGGCGTTCAATATACCGTTGGACCTGTCGCCAATTCTTAACGTCGCTGAGCGTTCACAGCCTATTGTGGGTCTCGAACACGCAACTCACTGCTCCAATTGTGCTGTGCCTAACCGCCCGGCCTCCTTGCCGAATTGACCAGAACTTTCGCACAGAGCTGGAATGGAACCTGCACATCTCTGCTCCAGTATTAGTTTTCTGGACTGTAACCACTCGGCCACCCTGCAACTCTTAATCAGTCTTAAGCAACACTAAATCATTTCTTATGATGAACTAAAATTAATTAGACCATGACATTTCTTAGCTTAACGTATAATATAAGGTTTCACCGGCCTAAGTTCCCAGCATAGACGGGATAGGATTGACTGAACATACATAATGACCTGGAAAATTATTCATTTAAACTTTACCTGTAAAGCGAGCAGGGCTTTTGATCTGACTATGAAATATGCTTAGCGCGGATAACACAAAAATGTTCTTATAACACACGAGAAATGCGTATCCGATGAACAC